AACATGGAACCCTGAAACATGAGGTAAAATTCTCAAAAAGATTCCAATTCTTTAGGTTATTTTGGAATTTTCTGCATTGATAGAGGATACTATCCCCATTTAAGGAAAATCCAGTCCAGTTTCACTCTAGGTAGCCAAGCTCCTTTTACAGTCTGCATATTTCAGGGGACAAATGGAGAAACTGTTTGTTTGTTTTGCCCTGAGGAAGGCCATAACAATTTTCATGTATCAAATTCCTAAAAGAATTTCAAGTTGTAAAAATGACTCATATGGGAATAAGGTTTTGAAATTACTTAATATGAAGGATGTTTGGCTAATAGAGTATTCAACTTTAAGAAGGCTTAGGGAGTTTTCGATGATTTCTACAAATACATAAAAGAGTGATTAGATTTATTCTGAATGCACCTGATGGTGAGAGAGCAGTCAGAAATAGGAACAATACCTGGACAATACAACAATTTGAGTGTAATGTAAGAGAGAAAATTTTAATAGGTGGGGCTGCAGTTGGATATCTCAATATATTTAGTTGTCCATCCTTAGGAAGTTTAAAATAGACAAAATATGAACAGCATCAATATTGCAGCAGGTCAATCCCCAGGTGAGTACTTGAACCAAATAAGCTCCAGGCTTTCTTCTTAAATTGAGGTTTGATGAGTTCAAATGAGATTTTCCTACACTCCAGATGACTTTTGGAGCAAGACACTAACCCTGTGATTTGTATGTAAAGAATGGTTTTGTAGCCCCTCAAATTCCATCCCAACCAAAGTCCTAACATTCCCATTAGTTATAAAAACGAAAGCAAAAACAAAAACAAAAAAACTTGCCTGACTTGGGGCGCCTGGTTGGCTCAGTCAGTTGAGCATCCAACTTCAGATCAGGTCATGATCTTGAGGTTCCTGAGTTTGAGCATCAGGCTCCCTGATGTCAGCATAGAACCTCCTTCAGATCCTCTATCCCCCTCTTTCTCTGCCTCTCCCCAGCTTGTGTTCTCTCTCAAAAATAAATAAACCTTAAAAAAAATTGCCTGATTTATTTGTAATATGTATAATCTATCCTTCTGATTTGATCAATATACCCAGAAGTGATCATTCATCACCTCCAAAGGCACCTTCTTCCATTATTGGATTATTGCAGTTGTCAGACGTTGGTTTTCTTCCTTTGATGAATTTGGACAAGTGAGTCCACCTCCCTCAGCCTCAGTTTTCTCATCTATAAATGAGGTAGGTGTTTAGGTTATAGTTTCTGAGTGTCCAGTGTGGGTCTAGTCACCATCAAAGATGGGCCAACTATGTAAAGAAAACTGCCATAGGTCATTCAGACATCTGCTTAGGAATCCCTCTCAATGTCAGTGTGACATCTCATTAGGTAGGTTATGATCAAATATTGTTTTTAACTCAAAACTGCATTACCCAGTTTGATCATGCATCTTATTGACTAAACTTGGCTCTGAATAACTTTTATCTATTTCCCAAAATCAGATCCCATTTGCAAGAAATGAAGATTCACCACTATCAAGGTCTTTAAAAAAGTGCTACAGGCTTTGAAGAAAGTTCCAAAACAAGAGTTCAAACAGCCTCTGAGCTATAGCAGCATCATTAAAGTAATTGCATAATTGCTCAAGGGACAATATCATTTGAAGGTGTGAGTTTGGATTTGATAAAAAAAAATAGTGACATAGCATATTTCATTCACAAAAATAGTAAGTAACAATATCAAGCAGCATGTAAGAAAGATGGAACATAATAAGCCTTACAAGGGTCCACAGAGGGAGGGTGATTACTATATACTGAATAGTCAAAGAAGGTTAAGTTGAAAAGATAAAATCTGTTCTACTTAGAAGAGTAGGCAGATTATTAGCATCTATTAGTATCTGTATAAAAATATATGTTTTACTTTATCAGAAGGAATTAATTGGTAATATTAGCCAGCTTTCACTCAGAAAGGAGTTGAAATATGCGAGACTAGAAGAAAAGACAATTAATCTTTGCCTTGGCAGGGGTCTGCAAGGGCCAACGTCAGGAATCACAGTGACAGTGGAAGTGGGTAGAAGGGATGTTGCTCACTCTCTCCACCTCCCTGGAAAATGTTCAGTTCTTTTGCCTACGAAGGCCAGCATTTTGCTAAAGTAAAATCTCACCTACCACTAACCACCACTTCCACAGATGCCCATAAACATCAATAAGAAACCAAAGCAGGGTCTACCTTGTTTGTCTGCCATAAATAATTATTTGATTCTTAAGCCTTATTTATCTACCCAAAGTTACAGCTTTTGTTTTTTTTTCCCCCCTAGAAAGATGCTACAGAAAGGATTCTCAATTCTGCCTTTAAAACCAGAATGGCCATAAAGTAACAAGATGTGACAAATAGAAGAATGACTGATATGTGACAAGATTATCAGGACATTAAAAAATATAGAAATGGGGGGGTGCCAAGGGTGGCTCAGTTGGTTAAGTGTCCGACTCTTGATTTCTGTTCAGGTAGTGGTCTCACGGTTCGTGAGTTCCAGCCCTGCATTGGGCTCTTTGCTGACACCATGGAACCTGCTTGGGATTCTCTTTCTCCCTCCCTTTGCCCCTCCCCTGCTCAGGCTCTCTCTCTCTCAAAATAAGTAAATGAAACTTAAAAAAATATATAGAAATGGGTTCACAAAAGGAGACCGGAGCTGATGAAAATGATCTTTCCTCACTTAGAAGTGTCTCTCAAGTGAAATCTACTTGCTCTTTCTATGTTTCAAAGAGAGCAGGGATGGGGAATGTCAGTAAACCCGCGTGTCACATGCATGCAAATCTCTAAGTGTTCTAAAGGTCATTTGCAACCCACATGGCTTGGCATTTTCCTTCCAGAACACTAAAAGGAATAATTTAATTAACTCTTCCAAAGAAACATAATCAGACTTAATTGGAATTTATGCCGATCAAAATATTTGAGTCTGGGACCTGGATAACTGGAAAAGAAATGATACAAAAAATATTTGATAGCTGGTGTCAGTAAATTAAGGTTGAGAAGCACTTAAAAAAGAAATCAGAATTTAACGTACAAGAGTTTGCACTTGATAAGAATTCAGTGTACCGCTTTGGTAATTTTTTTCTTAGCCCCCTTTCCCAAATTCTTAATCTCTAGAAAATGTATCAAAACGAGTCAATAGCAAAGCTTGCCTCTGAAACAGGAGACTTGACAACAAATACCACCCAACTGTCATTGTTTAAGCTTATGAGCAATTGAATCTCATTATTTCAGCCAAATTATGTTTTACTGCAGTGAGAAGCCAAAAAAAAAAAAAATTTTAAACTGTTTTTTTCCTACACTTCAGATTTCAGTGATATGGACAAACATTGAGCTTTCAAGAAGGCAGGAATGTCCTTTTTAGCCAAGAGGAATCATCCCAGGAATGGTAACCAGATGTTTTTTTGACCTAAAACATGGGGGGAAAATAGCATTTTAGCCAGATTTTTATCAACCAATTTTAGAGTAGAAAAATAAACAATAGGTATTTCTAAAAGTTACGTTATTTCCAAGGGATGTTATAGCTTTTAGAAAATGTATCTTGGTTAATGACTCTGAAGTATCATTAATAATAATAAAACCACTATAAATCAAGTGAGGTAATATGCTAAGTTATTTGCATCAATTATCTTGTTTAAATTATCATGTTAAAAATACTGTGAGGTGTTTCCACAGATAAGAAAACTGAGTCTCAAATAGGTAAATAATGTGCTGAGGTTACCCAGCTAGTGAAGAGTTACACTGCCTTTATAATAAGTTGCAATACATTTCACACTTGCTTGGGGTAAAAAGATGAATGGGTTATTTCATGAATGTGAGCAGTCCAATGGCAGCTACACCCTCAGTATGGCAAAGATGTCATTGGGATTCAGTCTGTTTTCTCTATCCCTTGATCATTTTTCCTCTCTGTGTTCTTCATTCTCAGACAATATTCCTACATGATAGCAAAGAAAGTCACTAGCATACTAGGCTATATCTGTGGAGTTAGGCATTACATACTCTGAGATGCAAAGAAACAAAAGTATGTTGCATGTATAGCTGCTCTGGTTTTGTTCTGGAGTTTCCATTAATGCTAAAGGTGGCGCCTCTTCCCACCACCTATTAAACATAATACAGTCTTTAGTCAATGACATTACAATAGTGTTGTATGGTGACAGATGGTGGCTACACTTGTGGTGAGCATAGCATAATGTATAGAGATGTTGAATCACTATGTTGTACACCTGAAACTAATGTTAACATTGTGTGTCAACTATATTCAATTAACAAAACAAAACACAGTCTCTGCCACTTTACACTAGACTATTTTAGAGCATTTCAAGATGTTTCAGAAAACACGCAATCACATTTGAGATTCAAACAATTCTCTCCGCTCAGAAATTGGCCCATCTATTTTCTCGTACCCTAAATGGTGACTGGTTATAGGGAAAGCTCATGAACCCTTATGGAGAGTGGTGGCTGGTTTACATGCTATCTTCATTGGTCTTGGCATGTTCCTTGTCTGCTTGACCAAGGCTGTTGGCTCTCAATTCCCAAGACTGTTGGCTGTCTCACTCACCATAGTTTACTCCACATTATACAGAGTCTGGGGGTATAAACACGTGCAGTCTTGGGTCAACTCCCTTTTGCCAGAGATGTTCTTCCATTGTGCTACTTCCTGTTCCATCTTGTTCCAGTGTTGGTTCGAAGCACTGTGTGAATCAGTCTCTTCCACCAATCTGAAATAGGAGGCAGGATGCAAGTCCTCCCTGTTTTGGATTTTCCTCTCAAACTTCATATTTTTATCTTATAATTTTAATTTTATTTTATTTTTATGATGTTCATTTTAAGAGATAGAGCGGGAGGGTCAGAGAGAAGGACAGAGAGAATCCCAAGCAGGCTCTACACCATCAGTGTGGAGCCTGACATGGGGCTCTAACTAGCCAACTCGCAAAGTGTGAGATCATGACCTGAGAGGAAATGAAGAGTCAGATGCTGAACTGGCTGAGCCACCCAGGCGTCCCTCTCCTTTCTTTCTCCTCTCCTTTCTTTCTCCTCTCCTTTCCAGTGGAACAGAATGTGTAATGCAGCAAAGAAAGTAACCACATTAGGAAGAAAGGAACATCATCAACACTGTAGTGAAGAAGATTCCTCTCTTTTGACGGCTTTTAGTAAAGTCATGAGCATGACTCATGGTGATACCATGTAGGTTCTATGTCCATTTTAAACCCATCATTATGGAAAGGAAATGGAACACCTTAATTGGCCAAGCCTGAGTTAAATGTTAATGTTAAAGAGGTAGTAGAAATGAGATACAGAGTGAGTTAGCTTCATCCAAACTGGATAGAATATCAGGGAAGAGAGTTTAGAAAGAAGGAAGAGATTTATAATAAGCTATGCACAGTTATGCTTTGTGTGCATTATGGATACAGTGGAATGACTAATTTTACAATTAATTTACATTAATTTCCTTCTACATACTTGGAAAACCCAAGGTATAGAAACATATAAAACAAGATACCTTTATCTATCTCCCTCCCTTCCTCCCTCTCTCTCTCTCTCTTTCATCTATCTACACTTTTATTTATCCCAGCAACTTGGCCTTTATTATCCTAACGAAATAAAATCCTCAGCCTTAAAAGAAAGTTAAAAAAAAAAAAAAAAGATAATCCAGTACTTCTGAGTATCCAAGGTCTTGGGTTCCAATAATAGATTTCACTTTATGAGATGTTTTGGTTTTTTTTCCAACTTATACATTAACTTTTCAGTCTAATTCCCAAGTAAATTATCCCCTCCACATCATATACCCTCCAATATATATGCATATATATGAGGCCATTCTTCTGTGTTCGAAGCCTCATAATCAAGAAATGAGTTAAAACATCTATCCTAACGAGGTTCCTGGGTGGCTCAGTCTGTTAAGCTTTCCACTTCAGCTCAGGTGATGATCTAACAGTTCGGTTGGTGGCTTCAAGTCTCACATCGGGCTATGCACTGACAGCGTAAAACCTGTTTCACATCTGTGTCTCCCTCTCTCTCTGCCCCTCTCATGTGCACTCTCTCTCTTAAAACTAAATAAACATTAAAAAAAACAAAAAAATCTACCCTAGTGACATTCTACCTTGAATTTTGGCAACAACTTCAAATTATGTTTTTTTGTTTTTGGGGTTTTTTTTGTTTTTTTTTGCTTTATTTTTGTACTTAAACTCTATTCTGCGGTACCTCATGAACACAAATGTCTTTTACGCAATTTTATGCAGTCACTCTATTGTCCTGAAGATGGAAGCCAAAGTCCTGGGTCGAAGATGTAAGATTTTCACCACTTGAACCTAATATACATTTTGTATGGATTAAAAAAAAAATGCAAAAGCCTAACAGCTCCATACATCAATAGTTCTAAAAATGTAGGAAGCCTAACATTTGTAGATTTTGCTAAAAATTGAGAATTCTAGGCTTTACCAGATCCAGATACTGATTCAAGAGGTTTGGCATATGGCCATCAAATCTATATTCTAAGTGAACATTTTTGTTAGTCAAGATAGGTTAGTTTCCATTGCAGTAACAGGCAAACCTCCAAAGTTGATATTCTACTTGACAAAACATACAAATAGGTCAGTTAGATACTCCTCTCTAGGACCAACGCAGAAATGTTACCATTCACTTCACCTGAGGAAAAGAGAATGTGTTGAACTGCTTACTAGCCCTTAAAACTTCCCCCCGGAAATGTTTTTATTTTATTAGATGAAACAAGTTTTGTGGCAATATCTAAACTCAAAGTGATAGGGAACTATTTGGTGAACAGTATTTATGTAGCTATTCTGAGGACTTCATTTGAAGACACAGGTACCCTATTATTTATTCTGAAATAGCTTGTTCATTAAGTTTCAAAACCTGCCTTCAGTTTTCCTCAGTGCATTTGAATACCCATTGCTCATGCTGAATTTTTCTTCTGTTTCTAGGTGCACAAGAACTTCCAACTATACGTTTATCTTCTGCAACTAAGAAGTCAAAAGACATTTCGTGCTCAATAATTTATTTGCTTTTATTGTATTTTTAATGCTCAACTTGTCAAAAATCATTAATATATCTATACCATAAAATATAATCTTATTTTTAAGAAAAAAAAATCTTTCAGCAATCAATTCAGGGCAAAAGAGATATCAAGAAAAGTAGTCTTATCTGCTCAGTGGACTCCAACTATTAATAGATTATTTTCCAAAAATTTCTTTATAAATCAGTTGTTTGAAAATCTTTTAGATTTCTCCAGTGGGACAATATTATAGCGATTGAGATTTCTGGGAGAGTATTCCAATGCCTATTTAACTCCTTAGGCTATATGTTCAAAATGAAACACTGTAAAGTAAATTTGTATACTATAAAACGAAACACCTTTACAATGCTACTAATTCAATAAAACAAACAAAAAAAGTGCTAAAATTCAAAGAATATATTGTCTATATTTTAAGCTAATACTGAGACAAGCTTTTTTAATTAGGGGAGAATGAAAAGGTAGGTAGAGATTTTACAGATGTTTTGAAGGGAATTAGGAATATTTTCAAGGATTTATATGTTATTGGCAGTGGTTCTTGATTATTCCTAATTGCCACTTCAAATTATATGATGTTCTTGCCTTAAAACAGGTATGTCACTAACCACTAAAATTTCAAACAATGATTATCCCACTGTTTGAATCATGATTGCAATAATGAAGGTGAGAATAAAAAAGTTAATGAGGAAGGAAATAAAGAGAGAAAATACACCATACTAACTGGGAAAGAGTTTTAACAGATAAAGGAGAAAACAATAAAATGCAAGTGGATGTGTTCTGTTGTGAAACATTATGTGAGGGGGAATACCTGAGCTGGTACTGGTAAACTAAAGAGGAGAAAAGGAGCAGGCTCCATTTGAGAGAAGAATAAAGTTGGTTGTGGTATAGAAACATTGGAGTCAGACACCTTAGAGCAGGAGACAAGGGAAGAGTAGAATTACTCTCTTGATATTTAAAGTAATGAGTCTGAGTGGGACTTGAGCTTGTACAATGATGTACTGGGTGAGAAGCAGACAGAGGAATGAGATAAGAAGGGGCATAAAAGAGCTTTTCTTTAGTATTGAACGATGATACAAGGTATGTGTCATCTATTCAGCCTCTTGAAGTTGAGGCAGGGGTTCCCACAGCCCCACACCCTGTTAATGAGCCTAGCACAGAATCTATACCTGCTTTTCATTTGTCCATCCGTGAGGTCTGACAGCCTTCTGCGTGGTTAAGTTAGCTTTATGCCTCCACCTCCCAGCCCTCCTATTTTACCTGAATCCCATTTCTGGGTGCAATCCTGGGAATTTCCTCCGAGGAGATCATAAATTAGATTGGAACTAGGACTATTAACAAACACAAAACCAGGGAAAAACTGGATTTGCAACAATCCCTGGGGGCCGTGACTTTATTCAAATGAATCAAGTGTGTATTGAGTGCTGACTTCTGGATCAAATGCTATGCTATGAAATTTCACATTTATAATTTCTATTTAACATTTAATCAGTTTTTGGTGATTATATTTTCAGCAACCATATACAGGTGCTAGAGGGCTAACTGGCATAGATTCAGGTTCAAGTTAGAGAAGGCAGAAACCAGAGCAAGATCATGACAGCTGGGGACCACTGGAGAGGTAAGCCTGAGGGCAAACTCTGAGATCTGAAAGTGTACCTTTTGAGTCCCTGTCTTTTCCCACTCCTCCTACCTTGGATACACCTCAAGGAACCATTGCATATCAAAACCAACTATTAGAACCTTCATCACATTGACATGTGAGTGAAACCCCCTTTAGGTACCAGCAGTCTAAGAACACCAAGCAATTTCTTTTGAATGAAAGCCTTGGGATAAATAAATCCACTCATTTACGTATTATTCAGTCATGTAATGAACACCTTCTACATGCCAAACACTAAAAAGCTAGTCTTTCTGTTTTATTTGCCAATAGAAGCTATGAATGGCACACTGCAATTCCAGATACTAGGTAAGAAACATAAGTTTGAAGGATGAAGATATCAAGGCCTCAGTCTCCTCTGAAATCAGATCACAATGCTCTATGTCATCAGTTTCCCTTTATCTTGATTACATGTCCAGGAACACTGACACTCTAACAACAAAATGGACAACTCCAGTGGACCAAAATAAGTTGACTATACCCGAAATGATGGAAGAAACGGCGCAAACATTAACCCTGAAGGGAGAAGGTAAGTACAGATACACACAAAAGCTTGAGGAGTCAGGGAAGCCACTTAGTCATGCAAATGCAGAAAGAACACATCCACATAGGTTAGAAGGAGTAATCTAAGCTTCAAAACTATAAGAGATTGCCAGTAGGAAAACACACTATGGAATGCAATGTGATGCAATGGTAAAAAATTCAAAACATTAGTTGTATTTTTTTAAAAAAGTATTATCTATCTATCTGGGAGACAATCACGTTACACTTTAAACAGCACAATTTCCCAAGATACCCCAGTCCTTTCCTGGAGCATGGAGGTGTGTGTCTATTCTCCTCTGTGATAGGGCAGTGGGTTATAAGAGCCTCAAAAGTCCAGGTGTTGCTATACAGCAGCTCAAGGTCAGGATGGGAAGGGCGTCTGTCAGGTCTTCTCTGCCTAGAAATATCTCACATCTTCTTCTGTCACTAAATTGTACCCCAAGCCATTCATTCTTTTCCTATATCAGGACCCAGTGCTGTCACTTCTTTTGGAGACACACATATTTCCAGGAAGAGCAGGAAACTTCTAGAAGTCAGTTCAGTGTGCCTGGGTGGCTCAGTCGGTTAAGCGTCCAGCTTCAGTTCAGGTCACCATCTCACAGTTCATGAGTTCGAGGCCCCCGTCGGGCTCTGTGCTGACAGCTCAGAGCCTGGAGCCTGCTTCAGATTCTGTCTCTGTCTCTCTCTCTCTCCCCCTCCCCTGCTCACGCTCTCTCTCTCTCTCTGTCTCTGTCTCTCTCTCAAGAATAAATAAACATTAGAAAAAATTTTCGGGGCGCCTGGGTGGCGCAGTCGGTTAAGCGTCCGACTTCAGCCAGGTCACGATCTCGCGGTCCGTGAGTTCGAGCCCCGCGTCGGGCTCTGGGCTGATGGCTCGGAGCCGGGAGCCTGTTTCCGATTCTGTGTCTCCCTCTCTCTCTGCACCTCCCCCGTTCATGCTCTGTGTCTCTCTGTCCCAAAAATAAATAAATGTTGAAAAAAAAAATTTAAAAAAAAAAAAAAAAAAGAAAAAATTTTGAAGTCAGTTCAAGGTTGTGAATTACGTTATCAGAGAGCATCCTCCCACCTGCCAAGCTCACACCTTTACTGTAAGCAAGGGAGCCAGGGAAAACCAGACTTGACAGAAGCTCTTCTGTGAGGTCACTGTGCTCCCACTGGAGTTTGTGTGTGGGTTAGGCTAATATCTGAAGATAGCAGATAGATCACTAGTTCAGCAGTTCTCAAAGTGTGGCCCCCAGAGCAATGACATCAGTATTGCTTCAGAATTTGGTCGAAATGCAAATTCTCAATCCCTGTCTCATGAATGCTGAATGAGGGACCCTGGGACTGGAGCCCAACAATATGCGTTTCCACAAGCCCTCTAGGTGATTCTAATTCATGTTCAGGTTTAAGAAACGCTGACCCCTCTGGCAGCTCCACTGGGGATCTACTCTATATTGTGGATTCAGGTAATCACCAAAGAGCGAACGAGTTTCTGATGCTTTCCTGAAATCAGATTTTGATGTCATGGAGAAAGGGCTTGAATAAAAGCTTGCAGAGCCAGGAGATGGCAGTGGCAGCTGGTGGGGTGTAATGAGACAAAGGGCAAATGCGGATGGTGTGAAAGGAAGTTCAGGAACAAAAGAGCAGAAAAGGATGAGAGACTGCAGGAAGACACAAGCATTACCATTTTTTCTAGCTTAGTTCTAGCTTAACTTCAGTCTTTTCCATGATCGAACTTTACACTGGTGACTACTGGGTCACAGACCTGGATTAGGGCTGCACTGGGGACCATTTTACCCAGGGTTTTTATTTTTCTGTCTGTAAAGGCAGTAGCAGCAGGTTAAGCTGCCTCCCCGTTTGCGAGCTTTCTTCCACCCCAACTTGTGTTTTCCTTTCTTTTTGTAATGAATTCTGATGTACTTACATCTTTCCAGGGATTAGGCCTGACAGCAAGAGCCCACAATAAAGTGAGCACGAGGTCACACAACAATATATGGGGAAGAATGAACTACAATTAAGCCAGCATAATTGCATACAAGCAACACCCTCCAAAGTACCGAACAATAAATCTTTGGCTCAAAGTAATGAGGGATCGGGAGATGAGAACATTGGAACAGCTCACTCGAGCAGTCTTAAAACTCACCCTGGAAGTAAAACACATAAGAAGTTACCATGGATTCCCACGCCTGAGAAATCAGGCTGACCCCCAAGATGTAAGACCTGGAGTTTCTAAGGTACATCATTTTTGCCAAGCACTTAATTTCCTCCTAGCTTCTTGTTGGATAACAACAGACTTGCATCTTAAATTTTTAAATGTTTTATTTATTTTTAATATATACATAGAGAGAGAAAGTGTCAGCAATGGAGGAGCAGAAAGAGAGAGACACAGAATCCAAAGCAGGCTCTAGGCTCTGAGCTGTCAGCACAGAGCCCAATGAGGGGCTCGAACTCACAAACTGTGAAATCATGACCTGAGCCAAAGTCAGACACTCAACAGACTGAGCCACCAGGCGCCCCCAAACTTGCATCTTTATTACTGGAGTCAGAGTTCAATTACCAGGGTAATGGAGAAGAGCCTTATCAAGAACGGCCCAAACATAAACCTAATCAGCACAATATTCAATTTAAGTCACAGTTCATTCTGTGCATTAGTAGTTTCATCCCAACAACAAACTGAGTCATATACTTTGCTTCAAATGATTTTTAAAAGTCTCCAGTCCCTCCAGAGTAGAAACAGTTTTCTGTTTAAGTATCTTTTTCTTACTGAAAGTCATCTAGAAAACCGACCTACTCCCAGAAAGGAGATGCAACCGTGAGGGGCTTGGAGGTCCATGATGAAATGAAGACAGTTATCACTTTTCATTTCTTCCTGGTGGAGGAGCAAAGAAGCCATCATGTGACAAATATGGAAAAAGAACAGAGAGGGGGAGGGAAAATGGAGCTTCCTTTTCCTTCAGAAATTAGTTGTCTATTTAGGACTCTAGAGCACAGTATGAAGCATCTCTGGCTTAGTATATTTGTTCCTATATTACTTGTATCATAAAAACCTTCATAATTAGGACATTAGCGAACTAACAACTCAATCACTCAGATAATATGAGTTTTTAGTAGGCTCCTAAATGTGGCCTAGTCATTACCCAAATGGGTCACAGTTCTTCCCTTTCCCAAAGAATGTATATTCTATTGTAGGGGCGGGTTGGATCAAGACCAAGAAACCTGACAAATCACAGACTAGTTAAGTGTCTACACTTTTTGCTATGAGCTATGGATTATAGAATAGAAGGGAGACATATAGAGAAACTACCACAGAACAGAGAAGCTGAAAATACTAAAACTGAGATTGACTTGAAATTAAACTCCTTTACTCTCTCCTCTTCCTGGTACTTTCCATGCAAACTTGGAACAGTAGGCTCCAAGTTTTAAGGCAAGTTCAAGGCCTGCTGGAACATTAATCTCACCAGGGGCTTTTTATTTATTTATTTTTATTTTTTAAACATACTAGCTTTTTGTAGGATACACAAGAAATCATCTAACTTTTAGTTCTTATCAAGAAACTGGGTAGAAAAAGTCACCAGACTAGTTGCAATCTTAAGAAACTGTGGCTTTTGAAAAATATCCTAAGTGAAGAAAAAGAAGAGACCGAGAGAAAAGCACAAAGAAACAGAGACAGAGATATAGAGAGAAAGGTTATACATCAAAGAAGAGAGGAGAAAAAAAGTTGAGAAGAAAAATTCAGGATATTTGAAATATTTCATTTTGCGTAAATGAGTTCTTATGTTTTAGAAGCATATTCTGTGTGCTTGTGTGTGTGTGTGTGTGTGTGTGTGTGTGTGTGTGTGTTTATGAGTGTGTATTGCCAGTTGTCTAGTTGATCTCTCACCTTATGTATGATTGGTTTTATAACTGTTATTGGCCAGTTGTATTCGAAAACTGGTCTCACGTGTGAAAACCTTTTCTACTCACTATAACAGGAAGAGAAGAGTCATATGTCTTTTGGCTTCATTATGGTGACAAAGACAGTTCTGGACGCCTTGCCCATGCTTGGTACCTGCTAACCTATTGACTCGAATACATGCGGTCTATATACACGGGCTCTCTTTTGCTTATACAACCCAAAGTGAGTTGACTTTGAGGCCAGAAGCCATAGACTTGAAAGGTAAAGTCAGAGACAAACGAGGCTGAAGCTGTAAGGACAAAGGAAATTAGGGGACCCTTGCTTACCTCAGATACAGAGCAGGTATGTGTTAGAAATGTTTGTGCTTACTAATTAAATACATTTCATTTCCTCTTACATCTTTTTTGCTTAACTAAGGAGAAAATGTGCATTATTTATAGGAACTAAAGATAATGAAAACACAAAGAAAAGGAACCATTTTGATTCAAATCTTGGCAAATATCCAACTTGCAATAACTTGAAGATTTCATATTATTACGTGCACACACACACAAAAATAAAGCCTAATGCTCATCCAAGCATATTTCAATCAAAACTCTCTCTGGGAACCTTCCTACTGACAATACAATTTCGTGCAAAATAAACAATAAGATGCAAAAACTACAGTAAGCAGTTTAGGAAATTACATATCAAATATCTTCTTAAGAGCCTGGGGGTCTTACTGAGCAGAAATTTTGCCTAACAAGTCTCATTGCATATGCAGATTTAAATAATTCACTTGTTTAAGAAATCTCCTATTCTCTATTTACTCAAGCACTTCAGCGATGGGTTGTCGCCAGAAGTCATGCCAAGAGTCAAAGGGAAAAAAAGGTTATTTTTCTAGTTTTGAAGGAAGCGATATGAAAATAAGTAGCAAAGCTAGGATTCTGCATTAAAGTCAGGTAACAATAGTATATTCAGTCAAAATCTGTTCTCCATAAGTCTGATTTCAGAAACCTGTATCATTCATATAGGTATATATACACTTACACTAAAATATGGTGTGGGTATGATTAGCTATGTAGCCCACTGGTCTCCTATCTCTCCTAATATATAGGTGAGGATCCCAGAGAGAGATGTTGTCCAAGGTCACAAGACCAGTGAATATAAGCACTGGAATGAGACAATAGAACTTCCAAAGGTTGGTTGCTCTTTTCACTACTCAAAGATACCTCACAAGGCATCCTGCATATATGAATAATTCTACATAAAATCTTAAGTGTGTGTGTGTGTGTGTGTGTATGTATGTATGTATTTTCATAGACTTCCAAGCTATTTAGACTTTGATTAAACTGAATACATCTTTAGTTCTCTCATGCACTCACAGAATTTCTCTGATGATTTAGCCAATAATAGAATAATAAAATAAAAAGACAACAACAATAAAGCAACCAGGTCTGTTCCAAAGGAGGAAATTAACAAAATCAATGTCTACAATACGCAATGTACCGAGGTAGCTCTTCAAAGGTTTTTGGTCTGAAAGTCCAGATAAAAATGGTTTGATTACTAAAATTCTTAAACTTTCAAAACATGGATTTTTATTTCAGGCTAATTTTTTAAATGTCTGTTTGTTTTTGAGAGAGGAGAGACAGAGCACATGAGCAGGGGAGGGACAGAGATGGAGGGAGACAGAGAATCTGAAGCAGGCTCTGCGCTGACAAAAGAGAGCCCAATGTGGGGCTTGAACCCACCAACAGGAGATCATGACCTGAGCTGAAGTCATATGCTTAAATGACTGAGCCACCCAGGTGCCCTTTTAAGTCTAATTTTTAAAAGAATTTTTCAAGTAAACATGTATTGGAGGGAGTATAAAAACACTGCTTTCACCACCTCTTTTTCAGATAAAAGTGGCCCACAGAGTCTAAAGCAATCGTTGATAATGAAAGTACACAATACATGTGGGCTTAGTTGGGTGTTTTATTCTAATTTCCAGACCCTATTTCACCCTTTCAGTTTTTCTCTGTAAAACTCTCACAGGCATTTGACATTGACTTTCTCTGAAAACAAAAACAAAAACAAAAACAAAAACACTGGGCCTAGGACAGTGGGAAATCCAAAGTAGAAGGCATTGTCCTGCCTCTGGTGGAGTTCACATACTTGCTGGGATAAGATGACCTTTTTAAATTGAAATGTTATTATCCAGTTCAAGGCCGTATCTCACTGAAGGGATTTGGAACAGGTCTCCGCAAAAAACGTGCCACTTTGTTATGTGGACTATTTTGAACTGAAAACAATTGAGTCTCTGCAGGCTCAGGGGAGACTTCTGCCCCTCCCTTAACTACCTAAAGAATCTAAACTGGGGGTCTTTCCCAGAATAAGAGCTATTATCAGAGATAAATTTTATCTCTGAGTGACCCATCGATATGGCAGGGCAAACATCTAATTATCAAACATTTGTTCTTTTTATTGCCCTGTGAATTGGTCTGTATTGAATTGCCTTCCTCCCCTTTAAAGCCCTAGGCCACTATTCCACTCCTTAGCTCAGCCTCAACTGAACCCACTTGTCTTTGGGACTCACATTTTCTGATGGGGCTCCTGTATATATGTGATTAAATTTGTTTTTCTCCTGTTAATACGTCTCATGTCAACTTAATTAATTGAATAGCCAAAAGAACCTAGAAGGGTAGAGAAAACATTTTTCCCCTCCTATACCAGTGAGTTGATGTTATTTTACACAAGGCAAAGAAACATGACATTTGAGCAGCTTTTCCTCAGTTACTGAAAAAAAAGCTTTTTTTTTTTTTCATATTATAGATGACTCATGGACCTTTATTGCTTAGCCCTATAATTTTAAAGATCCATAATATAATTACTAACTAGGAGTATAATCTTTCCTCTCTGGTAGTTAATGTTGGAGGAGTATTGGAAAGGGGGACATGTCTGGTATTCAGCCCTTCAGGAAATGTCTAAGGGCTGGATCAAAGGATCAGTTGGAGCCTGCCTCTTGTATGCCTCAATTTCACAGAATACCTCTTCGAATTTTACAGTCTTTTCCTATCTCTCATTGCACTTAGTATAGAATTGCAAATTCCTATTGATTGATTAAACCAATTTAGACTGGTTCACTTGCAGATGGCCCAAAGGGAAAAACACAAAAACAAACAAAACAGAAAAAAAAGTCTAAGTCCTTTCACTTCCCAAGCCTTTGGGCTCTTTGTACTACAGAGAACAATGCTCTTCTCAGTTATTCTGTTTCTTTTTTCAAGAGTCCATATAGGTTGTTATTGTTTTTAACCCCACACGACAGGAGAATATAAAACAGGCAGTTGTTCTAGTAATTTTCAGTTTCAGACTGAGATCTTGATGCCTTTTTCCATGAGTTATTAATCACAGGATAATGGGGCAAAATCTCAAACACACGCTACCTTCTGATGAATATAACTAATTTCAGTTTCAAGAAAAGACACAGCTAACTCTCATTTCTTTAGAACCTCATGAACTGTGCACACACCCAATACAACTGGGACTTGGAAAAGGACCCAGAGGGGATTTGGGAGGACAAGAACTGAAACTAATGTGTGACTTACACATGCACATATTCTGATTGACTCTGTTCAACAGGAAAAGGCAACTTCATTTAAAATTCATGTCATGCAGAAAAGGAAAATATCTGTTTTGGGTAAAAAACTGTGACCATGTTTTTACCCATGGTAATATTAATTTCTCAATTTCCAAGCAATCAGAAACATAGAAAATGTGTCTAAGTTGGCCACATGGTTCATTGAGTCGTGGACTATGACTCTGTCATACCCATGTTTCGGAAAATGATTGTTATTCTTGGCATCAGATTCAATGTTTGGAGGACTGTTATTATGGAGCTGTTCCTTGATGATCCATTTTACTATTATTATCTGCAAATACCTTATACAAAGTAATTATACACTCACTATTTACTTTATATCATCTCTTGGGATTATGGGATTCATCCCTCTATTTCCTAATGATCAAAGAGATTTTCTCCATATATTTTATTAATTTTCTAAATTCATAATAACTGAGAGGAGGATTTTATTTTTCAAGTGATATATTTCATTATTACATGGACATGCTCTAATTTCAACTAGTCACTCTTTATGATTTAATAGAATTTTAAATGTCTATTCTTAAGTCTTTGATGAATGGTTTTTATTATTTATTTGTTTAAAAATTGTTTTCAATGTTTTATTTATTCTTGAGAGAGAGACAGAAAGCATGAACAGGGGAGGAACAGAGCAAGAGAGGGAGACACAGAATCTAAAGCGGGCTCCAGGCTCTGAGCTGTCAGCACAGAGCCGGATGCGGGGCTGGAACTCACAGACCATGAGATCATGACCTGAGCCTAATTCAGATGCCCAACCGACCGAGCCGCCCAGGCGTCCATATGAATGGTTTTTAAAGTGTGTTTCTAGATCCTTTTCCAGGGTCAAGGCTAAAAAGAGGAAGGAAGGGGGAATAAGTCCCTTCCTCCTAATCAGGGTACTCCTACTTTCACTTTCACACATTGGGCTACATATTTGAAAATGAAAGTTATATAAACACCAGTCAAGACTACAGAATTTTAGCTCCTTCATTAAGTAATATATTTATTATATATTTAGGTCATTTACATGTAAGGAAAGAATGTAAAATAATTATCCCTTCATCTCTGAGTCTCTCCCTTTCTAAATCATACCCTAAAGAGTGCCCTGTTTCTGCTCCCAACAGCTTGTTTACATGCCTGTTTGTCCTACTGCAATCATTTATTTCCTATCCTCCACATGACAACATGACTTTGTTGAGGGCATAGATTTTTCACACTCTTCTTTGTATACAGAATATCCAGCACTAAAGAAGAGCATAATAGATGTGTAAATCAAGGTGCCAATTGAATTTGCTCTAATCTGAGCAGAAAACCTAAAGAACTGATGTAAAATCCACTCAAAGTAAGTAATCACGTGGGAGAAATACTTCCCCAACCACACGGAGATTGTATACTCTCTCCACAAAAGACTGTGGGAAAGACAATAATCATATCATTGAAATAGTAACCCTCTGCCACTCAAGACTCAATCATCTGAGAGATGAATTGATTCTTTCCTTCATTCTTTCGTCAAATGCTCCTTACAAACCACCTATATACACAGAGCTGTGCTAAGAACCAAAGATGAAGATGTGCTGTACGTTTCTAAGGTCCTCATAATATAAATTGGGAAGTAAGGAGAACAGACCTACCTAGAGACAGAATTAAATTGTAGTTCAAGGCAGGATATACAGATAGCCAATTAGTTCTAAGGAGAGAATTGTACTCCAGGAAGTTTCAGGAGACACATAGAATAGTTGGGAACAAGGGCTTTGATTATGGAATGGGGGCGGAAGGAGGCCTTTGCAAACGACTGAGAGAAGAAAACATGTCTGCGAGCATGCGTCCAAATGGAAGGAAGTGATAAAAGGCGAGACTGGAAGGGTATGTGTGTGTGTGGGGGGGGGGGGGGGGTGGAGATGTAGAGGGCGGCAGCTCCAAATTATCAAGAGACTACCAATGGAATCCAAATAGCATGCCAGGAGCAAAGGTTCAGGTTCGATTGCTTAGTATTATTATAGTCCGCTATTATACTAGGCTTTGCTGGTGAGTTACCACCTCCTCCAAATACACTCACCAAAAAAACAAGACAAAATGAAACCATGTATATAGCGAATTCCCTGCACCTCTCC